CTGATATCAAGCTCTACCTCTTCACTTATGACCATGATTCTTTAAATTGCTCAGTGAAAGACTGAATAGTCTTCATCTTATACCAAGTTTAAGAGGGACATGAGAACTTAGCAAAGAAGAATAAGTAGATCCCTGCCGCCAGTAGATTTCAAACAGGATCCATAATCTTCAGGAGGGGCTTCAAGAGGCTGTGTCATGCAGTAATTTGTAATTTTGCTGAGCAATGAGTTGCATCATAAGTGCAGAGAGGCTTTTCTGTGGAATGAGTCAGTCAATAACGTGAACCCAGACAGCAGCGACTCCGTATGACTTTATTGTTGTCATTTATGTAGTAATGCTTATTTAAAAAGATGCAGCAACAACTGTCGCTGTGTGCAGTGTACCTGAGAGAGGGCCAGCTGTTCAGGCTATAAAGGGGTCAGAAAAAGGTGAAGAAGTCTGATGAATAACTGTGTCCAAGTTTTCTGCTGTCAATTTGATGCTGAGGGGCATTTACAAATTTGAGGACTCAGAGACCCAATATCCAGGAAGGGTTTCCAGAATGTCATTTCCCATTTGAACAAATTAAGAGTTCGATGATATGCCAAGGGCACAGAGGCATCTGTACATATATACCATAGCTTATATTTTCTGTGCTATTTTTCCTTTTGTTTTTGCCTTTTAAATAACCAGTAGCTTTAGATATTACGCTCCACCTTTATGTATTTTATATGCATTCTGTAATTTAACCCTGTAAAGTTAAAGCAGTTATTACCCCCTATAATGGATGGGAGAGTAAGGTAACCAGGAAGCAGAGGTTTATAGAGATATTGGCTACCAAATACAAAGTCATTCTCAGCTACAACTGGGTGGGATAAGGCAAATAGGCCAGTCTGAGGGTTCATCACTGTGTTATGTGCTTCCTTTGAGCAGAGGAAAACAAAGCTAGCTGGATTGTTGTTGGTGTCCCCCCCCCGCCCCCCGTATTTAGAGTCAAATGGAAAATGTAGAAAGGTGGGAGCCTTAGCTTAGAATTAAAACAGACTCTGATGGTGGTCCCTATCATTTCTGATTCAGAGGTCCTCTGAAGTCTCCCCTTCAAACAGAGCAGATCTAATGAGCTGAATATTTATGTCTAAGAGCTTCAGCAAATGTGGAAGTTACCATTTGGTTTTTAGTTCCAGAGTGTAGGAATAAAAATAGGTGTGACATTCCAGTCTAAAGCCACCTTGAGCTGTTAATGAGTTTTTGAAAATCCTTTCAAAGTGACCATGAGATTTTTAAAATTTCATTTGAAAGCTTGGCCCTCAGTGGGCAGGGTAAGACCTAAGACCTATGTGGTAGGACCTCCGTTCCGTCTTCCCTTTGCAGAAACAGCCATGGAAATATCAACACATCTAAGATTTACCTGAATTTTATGATCACCATGTCACAAAAACATGACATTACCACATTGGCACATCTCACAGTTTCCATGTGGCCTTTCCCTAGAATTCTGCCAGAATTCCTAAGAGGAACTTTTTAGAGTTCTCACAGTGTTCCTTCTAAGGCTTGCCATGAGCTTCCTAAGAGTTCTGAAAGCTAGCATTCAGCATTAAATATCTCCACCCAATGTGCTCAACAGTAACTTGAAATGAAATAAATTTATATTTTACATTTTATTTTTATGATTCATTAACACATTTTGCTTTTCTGTGCACAATGCTTAAAATGGGTTAATTATAATTGACTTATTATATTATGTTATTGAAGGTGACTTCATATGCAATTTTATTGATAATTGTTTTAATTTAACATAATTATTTATAATTTTTTACTACTGTTTGACATTTGGGCAAATTTTTAATAGAATCTAATTTATCTTTCTATTCTAACATACTAAAAAATATTATTTCCACAATGCAAAATGCTTTTTACAAAAAAAAAAAATCAAGGATTGCTATTCCTTTGGGAATGTTGACATAAACAATTTTTGAGTTCTGTGTGTGTTTTATAAAATGCTGCCAAGCTTTTAAATAACTTAGAGAACATCACATGAAAGCTCCTACATAAATGCAAATTATAATTGATTATATTTGAATGCTTTTTTCCAAAAGAGCAAGGATGGAATTCTTAACTTCAGCTTTAAAAGTGACTTAGAAATTCTGACCTGGGTGGAGGCAGCACAGTGATCAGTGTATATTAAGGGTAATATTCTTTCTTAGATGATGGAGGTTGACTTGAGAGTTATAGATTCAGCACTGAGACAAATGATATGGCATTCATTATGCAGGTTTGTGTGAATTGAATCACCATGATTTTTCCTCACAAGACCATCCCCCCACCCCCACAGTTAAAAGAAGGTATCATGTTTATTTCTCCTACAAAGGTTTTGTTTGTGTTATTCCTTCTCTTTGGAAGCCTCATGAATCTTCATCTTCACCTATAATCTTCCTATCTTCTCTCTGATCCCTACTCAGTCCATACTGCATTGAACTTGCTCATGTACAAAGTTAGCTATGTTTTGCCCTGTCTTATCAGCTATGGTTTGAGATAATAATGTATTATTTTGCTGAATGATATTATGTGCTCATAGAGGAACAGTTTCATAACTCTTCAGTGTTACACATTGTGGGTGTGTTTATTACATATATTTACAGTCATGCAATTTATGCTAGATGAGATGATGGGTGTTTTGGTTGAGTTGTCTTATGTTTATGGACAGGGAAAATTTTATATAAAAATGTAATTTCTCATAAGAATCATCACTCGCATTATAGGTAAAGCCAGAATTAGAATTTAGATGTCGTAATTTCCAGCCTACTTTAGTACCCACTCTTCTTTCTTCCTTCCTTCTTTCATTTTACAAATACTTATCATTCACCAGGTATCAGACACTTTGCTAGGCCCTGATAATGCATTGTTGAGCCTGTCTTGGAACTTATACTATCATTAGAGAGAAATGCCCCTATTCCAGCTATTGAACTAAGCATTGTTAAGAATTCTATAGTTCTATGAGAGTAAGTAATGGTAAGTAATGGATGGACTCTTTCCAAATGCCATCGATTGGCCTAGTGGAGTGAGTTATCAAATTCATTTTGGAAATTCTACCTACCCTAACCTATGTCACCATGTACTTTTACCCAATCCAGAAAGCAGTCTTAGCCATTTCACCTAGTACATATGGAATTTGTCTACATATTATTGTAGTAAAATGCCAGAAAATTATTCAGTCATCAGCATCCATTAAAAGTACCCACAATGTCACCTACTGTGTCCCAGGTTGTGTGACTTTAGACTATACCCAACAGGAAAACATTTGGCATATGTCCCTGCTTCCATCCCACCTTCTGCCTTCCTCAATATTCTCAGATTTCTCAAGAGAACCCATGGGATATATAGTTTAGGATTATATCAGGGGTGGTCAATTGTCCTATCTCAGGACACAAAGTTAGTGCTTGTTCATGCTTAGTGAGCAAGGGCAGAAAGGGAGGGGTTGAAACCTGATGTTAACGGTACTTGCTGATGTTGGACAGAGTGAAGGAAGCCTCATACGCTTGGAGGAGGGCCAATTCTGTAGGCAGAGCAGATAGGTTCAGCCCAGTCTTTGGGAACAAGAAAGTTCAACCTGATTTAACAGTGTGGCTATTGAGCCAAGCAAAGCACAGCCTGGACATTCGCTTGGGCCACTGTTTTTGAAAGGCTCCACTCAGAAGGAACTCTGATTGATGTAGGCCCTACCAAGGATGGGATTCAGGACTCCAGGCTGTTAACATTGCTGATAGGTTAACAAAGCATTGCCTAGACTGGGACTAATTCCTGAAAGTAACTATAGGAATCCATTTCCAAGATCAGATAGCTAGGGCTTCTTGGTTGCTAGATCTGATTGTTGTGGTCAGAGTAGAACTCATAAGAAAGTCTAGAGTGTGTTGAACTTCTTAAAACCTTAAGTCAAAATTAGTGTATTAAAAAAGGTCTTGTCCTACTTATGGGAAGAAAAGAAAGGTAAAGGTTGGGATCCAAACAGGGCTGGAATGAATAATTTAGCCAAGATGTAATCATGATAGCCTTGCTAACCTTGTTAAAAAGTTTGTATCTCTATGCAAACTAAGGACTCTTTCAATAATTATCAGCCATCTGCCTCCAATTTTTAAGTTAATTAGTTATTATATTTATTTTTATTTGCATATTTATATGTATGTCTAATTTTCGTATATGTTACATTCAATAAAACCTAATTTCATTGGGATTATTAGTGATATATTCTGGCTAATTTGAGAATAAATGATGTTTGGTTAATAAAAAGTATTGTTATTTCAATCTTATTGAAAAATATTTTAAATCCCTTTTTCCTGCTAAATGTAGTATAATGAAAATAAGAACTTTTTTATGGTTAAAAAATTGAGTGGAGTCCTTAATCTGATAATATAGACAAGGCAGATATAAAATATTTTGGAGGTTGGAGTGTGTAGGGGTAGAGGGAAGATGATTATTATTGTTCAAATTAATCATTAGTATTAACTGTTCTGGTGGTTTTATACCCTACCCTAAAAGCGAGCCGTTAAAACATCACCTGATTAGTTGATGATTCTGAGTTTCTGCTAAGACATGTAATAGTTATGGGCTGATGTGGTATGTGTTTATTATAATAATTTATAAACATAGAGGGGATAATAATTTAATATTAACAGTTTTAGGATCACCATACTTGCCTGAAAACATCTCAGCATACGTAAGATGACTTTATTACTGTTCTGGCAAGAGAGCTGAACACTCTGCTTTCTTACAGTTTTTCTGATCAACTTTAAATAGCCTTAAGGTTTCCTGTAGAAAGAAAGACTTGAGATTGTGTTTTCTCTAAGAAAAATTAAAAATATGAAGCATAACTTTATTATGAATCAGTTTGAAAATTAGTCTAAGAAGGAAGATGTCACTTGAATCATGCATAATATTACGTGTAAACCAAAGGTCATTTGGGAAATAACGGAAAGGGTATTAAAACTGCTGCTGTTTTTTCTTTTTTCTTTTTTTTTGTTAAACAGGCTCATGCACAATTAGTTCGAGAAGTTGATGTGGAGAAGGTGTCTGCTTTTGAGAATCCATATGTAGATGCAATAAAGAGTTTGTGGAATGACCCTGGAATCCAGGAATGCTATGACAGACGACGAGAATATCAGTTATCTGACTCTACCAAATAGTGAGTATCCAGGCAGGAGGCATTGAGATCTTTCTCTTTACCCTGGTTTCATTTGAATATGTTCTACAATTGTTATAACGTCCGAATTCTGTGCTATGCATGTAGTAATCAAACTTAGGAATTATAGATACTAGGCTTGTTCCAAACTCATAAATCTAGACTATATTATAAGGGTTTGGACTCACAATGGAGAGTATTTTCTTTTACCTATTTGAAAAACAAAACAGAAGAATCTAGGAATCTGATTTACCACCTTGTTTCCTCCCCAAAATTGCAAAACTAGTAATTGTCAAACAAACTACTCAGTTTGAAATCTTGTAATAATAATTTTTGAGACATTCTAAATCTTGTTCATGTGCTGGAAAACAAAACATTAGATATTGCCAATAAAAATATGATTATGGCTTCTTAAAACATAAGATTTCCTAGTTTGAGTTCTCAGAATCTTGACCATTTTCTGAGAGCCACTATTCTGTTGATGGATGGATTTTCCTTTGCATGAAAATTGCATGTGAGTCTAATTTTGCATGCATTCCAGAATTATTTTGTGAGTTGTCAGTCAAACTCATGTGTCCTGGGAAATATTTGCGTTCTAGAGAAATCTGTCAATTCTCCAGTTAAATCTTGCCTAACGGAAGGAAAGTAAAGATGTTGGTAATCATTGGATTAGTGTCATCATTGAATTCAACAGTCTAGATAATCCAGCACATGAAAAATAGTGAGAATGTTTTTTGTTTTGTTTTGTTTTTGTAGTATTTAGCCAGATTTCTGTCTGCATTAATTATGTTAACCCAGTTTGCCTTTTGTCTTATTTTGTGGTCAGAAGAATGGGTGGAAAATATTCAGCAGCCTTAGGCCAATTTATTTGATAAAGTCCCCAGTAGATGAGAGCAGGGTCTTGGGGAAAACAAGGAGTCCCAACAGGCTGATTTGTTTTACTTAATAATGCATGGAAGACTGTGCCATGTTTTTCCAGTGTAGTTGTATCTTTGCATTTATAGAATACGAGTTATGATTCAGGTCGGCCATAGAAATATTGCCTGATCAAAATATTTTCTTGTATTCTTATGGCAAATTTTAATTACATAATTCTGGAATGTGACATAAAATATCTCTTACACCTGAACTAAGGCTCATGTCCTTATGTGCCTCTGAAATATGTGCTACACTCATTCCATTTCTTCATCTTCCTCCTTCCACACATCCAAATCACTCTCCTTTCCCTGGTCTCCCTTCTGCTCACCTTAGTTCACTCATCTTCCCTTCACTCCCTCCCTCTGTCCTTACCTTCCTTCTTCGTCCCTTCTGAGCTTCTGCTATGTAAGTTTCTTTGAGTACAGAGATGGGAAAAAATACATTCAATTCTTCTCTGTTCCAAATCCTCCACCTTTGACCAGCTGTCTGTCTTGTACTTCCTGCCCCCTCTGTCCTTCTGTTTCCTTTGCCATTTCAAATTTCATCAGTCCCCCTCGACCAATGTTGCTGTTGTGTTTTATCCATCCTCCCTGTTCCTGCTCGTTTTGTCTCCCCCGCTCTGCTTGTTTACTCCTCCACCCTCCTTTTTAGTTCTCTCTTGTTCTAATTCCTTTCCATTTCTCACATTTCTACTTTGATGCCTTTACTTAAGTAACCTTTGTCTTTTCCATTTATTTGAAATTCCATTCCTTCCTCTCCCTGCCTCTTTTATTTATCCATTATTTGTAATGATCCTCCCCACAGTGAGATCTTGCTAGTTGGTAAAGAGCTCTAATATCTAATAATTATATGCTCATCAGGGTTAGGTTCTCCCTCAGGAATCTGGTTTGCTTTTTGACCAGGATAGACCCTTTGGTAGATTCCTTGTGCATGAAGACACCTGTTTTGGTTACCATGGTTGTGGTCTTGAGACAAGCCTCCATCACCTCAGATGACATTCCCCCTATTTAGATTTGTAGATTTCTGGATATGTGTGCATTACTTAGTATGAGAATCGGATGCTACCATACCTATTTGCTTTAGGGCAAAAAGCTATCCTAGTCAGTTCCTCCAGATCCTGTTGCTGCTGTAATCATCAGGAAGCCAATATCTTAGAATTCTGCAGGTACAGGCCAGGTCCACCATAGAAGCAGGCCTACTCATTAGACACATCCCTTTTGATAGAGGCAGACCATGACTGGGGCATCTGGTGCAGACTGATCTCAACCACCTCAAGTGCTTATTCTTTAAGTAGTTTTACCTTCCTCTTATGGAAATGGGGAGAAGTCGATATCCCAAATTACATATATATGGGTACATGTATCTAAGATAGATACATATACCTGATTCCTTTCTAAGCATATTTTTATGCTGAAGTAATAAAGTAAATTTTGGCATGTTCTTATACCTTTAAGCATGTTAGTATGCTTCTCTTTATAAAAGACATTTTCCTATATAGTAAAAACTACAATATTATACCTAAAGTTAATACTTAGTACTTATCAGTTCATATTCAAATTTCCCAGATTCTTCCAAAAATGTTCTTTAAAGGTGGTTGATTTTAGGACTACACATACCATCTGCTTGTCATGTCTCTATATGAACATTTTTTTATTATTAGTTGTTTCAAATATTACATAGCTCTTGACATATCATATTTCATACATTTGATTCAAGTGGGTTATGAACTCCCATTTTTCCTCCGTATACAGATTGCAGACTCACATCGGTTACACATCCACATTTTTACATACTACCATACTAGTGTCTGTTGTATTCTGCTGCCTTTCCTATCCTCTACTATCCCCCCTCCTCTCTCCTCCCCTCCCATCTTCTCTCTCTACCCCATCTACTGTACTTCATTTCTCTCCCTTGTTTTTTTTCCACTTTCCCCTCACTTCCTCTTATATGTAATTTTGTATAACGATGAGGATCTCCTTCCATTTCCATGCAATTTCCCTTCTCTCTCCCTTTCGCTCCCTCCTCTCGTCCCTATTTAATGTTAATCTTCTTCTCATGCTATTCCTCCCTGCTCTGTTCTTAGTTGCTCTCCTTATATCAAAGATGACGTTTGGCATTTGTTTTTTAGGGATTGGCTAGCTTCACTTAGCATAATCCGCTCTAGTGCCATCCATTTCCTTGCAAATGCCATGATTTTGTCATTTTTTAGTGCTGAGTAATACTCTATTGTATATAAATGCCACATTTTTTTTATCCATTCATCTATTGAAGGGCATCTAGGTTGGTTCCACAATTATGATGCTATGAATTATGCTGCTATGAACATCAATGTAGCTGTATCCCTATAGTACGCTCTTTTAAGGTCTTTAGGGAATAATCCGAGAAGGGGGATAGCTGGGTCAAATGGTGGTTCCATTCCCAGCTTTCCAAGGAATCTCCATACTGCTTTCCAAATTGGCCGCACCAATTTGCAGTCCCACCAGCAATGAAAGAGTGTACCCTTTTCCCCACTTGTTGTTGTTTGACTTCATAATGGTTGCCAATCTTACTGATGTGAGATGGTATCTTAGGGTGGTTTTGATTTGCATTTCTCTGACTGCTAGAGATGGTGAGCATT